ACACACACACAAAAAAACACGCCTTGCACTGGGTAGTCTACTCGGTAGTCCACTCGTAATTTTACGAGAAAGACGAAGTCCTGAATATGGTTTAACAATATTTTGCACAATCATTGTACATGACCACAGCGTCCTAGACAGCTTTTAATCCTTCGTGAACAATCACCTTTTTTCACGTATATTGGCTCTACCAGCCTCCCCTCGCCCCTTCTTTCTTCGTCAATAATATATGAATGTGGGGGGGGGGGCATCTGGTAAAGTCATTACCCAACAATTGAGACATTTTTCTAGACATTTAAAACAACAAAAAACAAAAACAAAAAACTGGTGGAACAAAAGACAAACCCCGGAGAATTGCAACAGATCCCATGCTTTAGTTTATCAACAAACAATGTTATGTGCATTCCGAAATGTCAGCAAAGAAATTAAAACAAGTCTGCCAGCTTTTTTTTTGTTCAGTTTGTTAGAGGCACATTGGCCAACATTGCCAGCAACGAGCAAACACTCCGAGCAGGACCTTTTTTTCTCGCTGTTCTTGCTGTCATTGTCACGACCTAAACCAGGAACAGGTAAACTGTGGCCTGCAGGCCAGATCCGGCTCGCGAGGAGTTTCAGTCAGGCGTGCGAGTCGACCTAGGAATTAATATTAATAACGAATGTGGGTCACAGTGAATTTTATATTAAATAAAACTAAAACAAACTATTGGTCTTGAAAATCAAACATTTTTATATCATGAAACGACATAGGTGACATTGGTGAAATAGTTGACATAAGACATAATTAATGCTGATTATGCTGAAGTGTCAGTTTTAGTCTCACTTTTGAGAGTTTGGGTATTTCAACTGATTCCCCCCAACTTTCTCCAGCTTAGGCCTCCCGAGCTATTCAGAGGCACTTAATCAGGCCCACAACTTGGACACGCTTGCCCATGCCTGACCTTAACTTGTTATCGTTCGAAATAAACTACTTGTACAACAAAAGCTTCATAATCATGTATAAAGTTCAGCAACTAGCTTTGTATTCTTGCTCCCCCCCC